TCTCCCTCGCTAGTACTTCACGGTACCTAGTTTTGTGATTGAACCGAGCGAGTTGAGCTAAACATTTAGAGCTTGTATAGATTATGTTCCAACACCGTTAATATTCACGTAATTTATTGTCCGAGCAAATTTTGTATTAAAATAATGAAAGATGCTATAAGTACATAATATTGTATATAAGAGTGTAGACCTCACACCATGCGAGCATTATGTACCAACTTCATGTACATTTATTATCTACTTGTAGCATTTTCATAAAAAATTAGTAACCGAATATACGATTTTGTTATGAAGCCAACAATTGACTTCATAGTTGTTCGCAAAATATTTTTACTACCCGCAAGTGTACGGTGTAGCTGTAGAAAGCGGCGAGCAAGGTCGTATTCCACAGAGACTGTTGTTCAACTAATTAAGTACCAAAATATAGACGATTAAATATTATTTAGACTAACTCGAATTTGAATGGTGATTTTGATCTAAACTAATGAATGAATGCAAAATAAATTCTAACACTAATGAACGCTTATTCTAAATAAATCAAGTATGAGAAAATAGATTCTAGGCTATGCTTTCCTCGGGTTTATTCTAGCGAAATTTTCTTATTCATTCAAACCTTATTTAATTCTACCAATCGTAGGGATAATCGCTAAACTAATTTACACCTTTCTCTCGAACAAGTTAAATTGTAGATATTAATTGCTATCTATCTCCTCTCGGTCTCAAGATGAACAACTAACTCCCATAAGCTCCTAAGATTCTAGTTCCCTCGCAAAATTCTATCAACCTCTCGGTCTGTTTAGTCTCTTACGTTATGAATTTTCCAATTCTAGCAATCAACTATCTCCTCTCGGTCTCAAGCCAATCACAAATATGCATAAATACGGGCCCTATATTCACACAATTCATATAATCACAAGAAACTGATAAACGAAAGATAGATCGGAATGAATAAACAAAATCACTTCATAAAATAATCCGAGTACTCGCAAATCCTAGAATCTCAAAGAGATTTAGCTACTAAACATATTCTCAATACTGAAATGAAACAAATTCACGAGTTCAATGAAGAAGAAAAAAAAGAAAAGAAAGAAGAACTATTGTTGTCGTTAGTCCCCGGATCTTCAATCTTGACTTCCTCGAATCCCTCGTGTGTTGCGTGCTTTCTCCAGGCCTCCAATGGTGTCAAAAGTCCCAAAACTGTGTTCTTTATGTCCCTTATATACTGTAGGGCAAATATGGGTCGAAAAAGGGACAAAATCGCGTAGGTTTCCTATTTCCCGCTGGACTGTCTGCGCGTCACACGACTCGTGTCACTAGCCACACGAGTCGTGTGACTTTTCTTCAATTTTCGGCAAAGTTCCAGGGCCACACGACCACCCCACACGAGACGTCACACGGGTCGTGTGATACCACACGACTCGTGTCACTGGTCACACGAGTCGTGTGGTAAAGCCGCAACAAAATTCTAGAGAAGCTCGATTTTTCTCACCCCACACGACTCGGTCACGCTCCACACGAGTCGTGTGACCTGTCTGCACCTTATTTTTGTTGTTTTTCGTCCCGATTCCATCTTTAATGCTTTTTCGGGCTTATTTCCTGCAAAACCAACGACAAATATACCTCCATCATAGATTAATAAATCAAACAAAATGGTGCACAATCCCACGATAAACACGGTTAAACATCACACTATATCACTCATAATGCATGAAAATATGATGAATGTCATGGAGTCAACCTTCTATATACAACAAGTAAACCTGTCATACTCGCTGATTACTTAAATAACACTAATATAATTTTATTAATATGGTAAGTTTACTTATTGTATATAGAAGGTTGGTCCCACTATGGAGTCAACTGTTGGCTTCCTAGTAAAACCAACCAAATATATTAAAATTGTTTGATTAACTCTATAAATTAGTTCGAAGTCGAAAGCACAAATACGTTATCCACAACAGGAGAAAATTGAGCCAGCAAACATCATTCCTCAGCTCCTAAACGACGAGGAAGAGAAGAAGAAGAAGAAGGAGAAGACGATGATGAAGGCACTTCTCCCATGGAGTCGTTGCCCAAACTCAGCATTCAGCTCCCTCCCTTTTCCGGCCGCTCCAAACCCCACAACCCACAAACCCAAATTACTCACAATTACCGCAACCCTCAACTCTGTGGATGAAAGCCCGCTCACGGCCCGGGAGAGAAGGAAGATGAAGAACGAGAGGAGAGAAAGCAAGCCCGCGTACAATTGGAAGGAAGAGGTCGAGATGAGGCTTATTGAGAAGCCCAAAAAGCGCTACGCCTCGTGGAAGGATGAACTGAATCTGGATTATCTCGCCTTGTTGGGGCCCCAGTGGTGGGTTGTTAAAGTCTCACAAGTTTCGAGCCAGGACAGCGCAGAAAGGATGGCCCTCTCGATGGCCCGAAACTTCCCTGATGCGGAGTTTAAGGTACTCTTTTTTTCCTGGGTTTGAATTTATAATTGTCAAGGATTAAATTGAGGTTATGAACTCTGTCTATTTGCTTGTATGTGTACTGAAAGTTAGAGCTTCTCAATGTGTAGGTGAAGCCAAGCAGATGGTCTTGGGCTTGTTGTTCTTACTTTCATAAGTTCGGTGTGTTGGATATTGAGTTGAATTGTGGGTTTCATTTGATATTTTGATCAATCTAATTCTATTTTGAGGTTTTATTTTAGATCATATGAGGGTGTATCCGTTTGAGCCTCCGGTTTTGGTTTTGGACAATAGTAATCTATGTATTATCCGAGAGACTCTGGCTTATTTGCCCCTTCATTACTTGGGGATATGCAGCTTACAGCTTACAATATAAATGACAAGATGGAATCTTTCGAAAAAAATCCGCGAATTTAGTTAAAGGTGAAAACTGAGCTATGAGAATTCAGCATTTGTAATTTTAACATTGATAATGTTCAAAAGTTTGCTCCTAAAGAAACTCGAGTTTATGAATTGGCTGTATTGGTCTTATTTTGGTGAACCTAGACTGATTTCAGACACTAAAGAAAACTTGTTGTGTAGTTAACTTACTTCTTTAGGTTGCTCGTGTCAAGCATTTCTACTGACTAAAGCTCATCTAGAGCAGGTTTAAGGATTGGTTTATCATCTTAATTATTGGTAATAATGGAAAATCTGCAGGTTTATGCTCCATCCGTTCAAATCAAGAGAAAATTAAAGAATGGCTCGATTTCTGTTAAACCAAAACAACTGTATCCCGGATGTGTGTTCCTAAGATGCGTGATGAACAAGGATGTGCATGATTGCATACGAGAATGCCGAGGGGTTGGGGGTTTTATTGGATTTATGGTTGGAAAAACGTAAGAGTTCTCAGTTTTTCCTGTTATTCTTGTTGAGAAGGCTCACTCTTTCCTTCTATATATAATTGATTTTCATTTCATCTAAGATTGTGCTTGGTAAACCTAGTTGATAAGCTAGCTTATAGCTTTAAGTGAATTTGAGCTTATAGCTGATGGAAGTGTTTGGTAAAATTAGCGGATAAGCTAGCTGAATTAAAAATTTCAATGGGTTTATTTAAAAAGCTACCCAAGGAAGCTTATGAGATAAGCTCGAACTTTTTAAAAAAGTCGTCTTACAAAACCAAACTTAATTGAATACATGAAGCATATAAGCTAATCAAATAAGAAGCTAGCTTATATGCTTACCAAAGACAACCTAATTGTTATTTTCTCTTTATTAAACTTCAAGGCATCCATGAAAACCCTTTTATTTCGAGAGATAAGTTACCTAATACTATACACCGTCATAAGTATGATTAGTCTCTTATTATAAGTATGATTTGTATCTTATTATATGTTTATTTCTATAAAGGAAAATATAATGACTAATTATTTTTATAACCTATAGATTGGCTAAAGTGTTCCATGTTTAATGGGTAAAATTATAATACCTATAATTTAATAGTTTGATTATGGTGTGGTAATCCGCCATAATCCCCATACTTATCTTTCAAGGTTCCTTGTTTCGCTTAGTAAAATACCATAATTTTGCTAAGAATAAGGCTGATAGTTGGATAAAGACAACTAACAAAAAAAATCACTAAAACAAGACATCTGGTTTTTCTGTATAACAACTTCTTCTTTGCCTTTTGTCCTTTTGGACCCTTCAATAGTAAATGCTTTGAAGGGCCTGATTATCTTGAGTTTTTTCTTCATGATTTTTTTTTTTTTTTTTTTT